TACAAGTAAAACTCATACCTATATAAACACCTTATTATGGTACTTACAGCTTTGTCACGGGTGCTTTTTTTGAAGATAACTTGTTTATGAGGAGAACTAGCATTCTTCCCACTCGTCCCCGTCTTTTGAGACTCAGGGCAGCTCATGGTCAAAGATGGGTATGTGACTGTGGGCAAATGAAGCTTTTCTGCCCCAAAAGGTCCTGGGAAAGATGTCAGAAAAAATAGGTGGATGAGATAAAACCAGAATTATACTTGGTGGGTAAAGCACTCTATTCCCATGTATAGTTTACCAAAAACTATTTCAATAGATACTCAGGTGCAGACCAGAAAGTGGGTTTCTTTTCATTTTAGCAATTCCTCATTAAAAAAAACCCAAAAAACCAAAAAAACACAACCATAAAAATATCTGTTTAAAAACAGCTCTTCAGAAACATTACAAAAAACCAAGAACTCTTTTTAATTCATATTAAAAAATTAGTAGACTAGTAGAAAAATCTGGAGGGGAAGGGATAGCTTGGCCTTTGCAGAGAGGTTTGTAGAGAGTAATTTTGTGAAGAAATCTATGAGTACAGATAAAGGTAATCTGATCAACACAAAGTACCTAGATTTTCAAAAGGTACCTCAGATTTGTCATCAGAGGCTCTAAATTGTCAGGAGATAAGAAGGAAGGTCATTTCACTCATTAATAATGGGATAAAATATAGGAAATAAAGAATATCAATACATATGGGTTTTGGCTACTTTCAGGGTTTGGATTGTTTGGGGGGTTTTGTTTGGTTTTGTTGTTTTTTTTACCATTGCAAGTATACAACGGCACGTGTCATCTGTCCTGGGACATTTGCTATTGAACAAACTTGAATGAATGGAAAGAAGCCTAGATAAGGAGTGAATAGCCTGCCCACAGACACAAAGCTGTGCTGGATTCCCAAAATAAAGCTGTCTATGTTAAGTTGGAGGAGTGCTTCATGATGCAGACTGGATAGGTGATGAAATACCGTATATTCTATAATGGTAAGTAAAAAGTATTACACTCAAAGAAAATACAACTATAGTCTGACATGCACGGTTATACTTGGTATCACTTAGGATGAATGTCTTGACATAAGCAGAAAAGTTATTAGGAAATAAATCAAGAACACAGAGAACACCATTTATACCATTTCAGAACCTCTTACATATCCACATCTTGGATACGGCATGTTCAGTCTAAGAACTAGAAAGGTGCTATGTATTGGTAAGGAGTCAGACCAAACCCCAAATGAGAACTCATCTGTCCTACTGTATTTTCCTAAATCAGAACCAAATGCAACCCATTATTTGTAGGGTATCATTGAACTCAAACCAGAATGGCTCTTAAGAATATAACAGTCCAGCTACCTGCCCAGAAAGGTAACAAATATGACCAGGGGCAGGGAACAGCTTGTACCCAAGGAAAAACAGATGGAATAAGATTCTTCAGGGGGATTAAAAAAAAAAAAAAAAAAAAAAAAAAGGACTAAAAGGACACAAGAGAGATCCAGAGAAAGAGATGTCCAGAAAACCTAATTGGTACAAAGCAGAGAGATTAGTTTTTTACTTTGTCGTAAGTCATAAAATAGCAGCATCCAGTTAAGTGATCAGACAGCAAATTCAAAATAAAGTGAAGCATTTCCCCACATAACACAAGATTCAAGAGTACAGTGTGTTGCTGCAGAAGGCTCTGGAAATCACCAATATGAATTGATTCACAGGATTAGACACGTTCACAGGGAAAAGGCTTTTGGCAGATGTTGGACAGGATGATCCAGGTGCAACCTTAACCCTGTAAGACTCTGAAGCTGAGGAGCAGCACCAGGAAAGGGCGATGCTACACATGCCCTGTTCTTACACTTCTCCCTGTTGGACCTGTGTGAATGAGTACACTGTGTTGGACAGACCGTTGGTCTGACAGTGTATGACTGTCCTTGCAGCTTGCTTCCATTCTATTTTTCTGCTTGCTTTCCCGTTTTAAAACTGTTCCAAGAGTAGAAAAAGTTTCTAGGGCCTATTTGCACACAACAAACTGTAGAAAAAGGAAACACTTCCCTTCTTAGAAAGCTGGAAAAAACGTAAGGTGGAGATTAGAGACAGACTTTACATGTTTAAGAATTTCTATTTTTATGAAGTACAGGTAGGTTTTCCAAGTCCAGAATAGTATTTGCTGCTGAACAGACACCCTACTCATGCTGTAGACCCAAATAAACAAACGAGCAAATAACATTAAATACCTTGTGTTCCAAGTGCCACAGGAGCTGCCACGGGACAAAGACGTGAACTCCTAAACTACTGAAGAGAGAAGAATTTTCCACGCAGCCATGTCCTATGCTTCTTCGCATCTACCAGAGGGAATCACTAACCTCTTAGCAAATGAGGAAGACAATTTGTAGGGGATTTGAAAGCACGTCTCTAGTTGCGTCCATCCAGGATTTCAAGAATTAATCCCCCTCCAAGAGCAAATATTGTACCTGGGCTAAGATTCAACTGGAAAGTGGTTAAGTCAGCAACATAAAGCATTACCTAAGGAAGCTCAGATCGTCAGTGAAGAGGTCTACAATGTCATACTCATATGCTTTGTAAAGACTAGAGACTTACATGGAACAGGATGGTCATGGAAAGCAGCTTTATTCTAAAGCTCTTTCTCTATCTTCTCCTTCCTAGGGTTGCAAGCCATCCAGCCTGATAAGAAGCTGAACAGACAAGAGCCATTTATGAAAAAGGGAATTTATAAAACACCAAACCAAATCTCTATAAATAGATGCCATTATGAATGACTACCAAACATTGAGAACAATGTGTTATTCTCATAATCAGTAAGCAGTTTATCTATCACTGCTCCAACATCGCATTGGCATGCTGATGCAAAACAGTAGGTTGCTAGCTAGCACACCTCCCCTCCTTAATTTACTTATAGAATGAGGCACAGCATCCAAGATGTAAGACACATGAACGGAGATTTCAATCAGTTTAGCTTTTCTGTTCATGAATGTCCCAAGAATAGCTTTCCCCCCACCATGAATTTGGTCTTGATATTATGCACAACAATACGTGTAATTCTTGGCTTACAAGCTGCATAAACAGCTGTAGCTTTCCTCTGGGCTGCGTCTGTTAGTTTGATTAGAAAGAACACATGATATCCTCTCCACCTGCCAGCCTGAACAGCACCCTCCATCTCGGGCAATCTTGCAGTCACAAATCAAGCTTGCTTTTTGCAAACAATCACCAACATTTGCCTGAATATAGTGGCCTGAGTACACAAATTATTCAAAAAAAATGAACACAGAACTAGTGTTCCTCAGCTCTTTCAGTGTTTTCCAAATTCCAGCAACATTTTATTAACTGGAGGTGGATTATTTGGAGAGCTTAATCACTACTCTGTTTAATCAACTCTGGCAAACACAAACCAGCCAGCCCTAAAACATGGAAATTCACGTGTGCCTGTGTTGCTGAAGGGAGGCCAGATCCTGATTGTAGGCAGTAGGGAAAAGACCCCAGAAATTAACCCACAAAATCAACATGCTCTATTTAGTCACACAATGCAAAAACAAAAAGGAGGAAGCTCGGTTTGTTTGTGCTGCTGCCCCTGCAGGACTGTCAGTCCTTCAGGAGAGGAACGAGCATTCCTGTTCTAACTGCTACTCCTCCGAGGGCCTGGGAGGTGCGGGTACACGCGCTATTGGAAACATCCTCGGGGAGCTTGGAAGCAGCTCCTCTGTAGCACATGCTTCCTAAGGCACCCTTATGTCTGGAGAAGGATGCCCACCCCCCCACCCCCCCCCACAAACCACTTGAAGGGAAGCTCCGCTTTTAGCGGAGAAACAGTGCGGCAGCCACCTCTGCACAGCAGGTACCTTCGTTTTCTCTTCTTCCCTCTGCAGGTCGAAGCAGAAAAGGGGGCAATATAAGTAAATAAATGAATTATAGCAAAAAAAAGCTAAAACTGGTCACTAGAATTTCCTACATACCTTGGTCCTAAGGAATTTTAATCTAAAATGCTTAAGGTCTTAGCTAGCTAACCATTACCCTCAAGCATTATTAACCTACTTTGTAACAGCATCAACAGGCAAAACAAAGCCCGTTCTGTAAGATCTGTGTCCATGTTGTAGAAAAACACAAGTATAGCAGCCTAAATTATAAACATCCTAAACCCATTCTGATCCTCCTCAGCAGAGCCTGCAGAGTTTTTATTATGTTAATCTCCCAATAATCCTTCATCATGCTGACTTGTCATTTAGTGATCTGCTTTTCCGCAGTAACCAAGGTCACCTGGACTCCTGGTAGGTGCCTTTTCAAGGACCTTCTGCCACAGCAACAGGCAGAAGAAAAAAATATCTTGCCTTTAGAAATGCTTCAGAATGCCAATGTGAATCTTTTCATTTTTGCTACAGTTCTCACTTCCAAGAGCTGGACAGAAGGCTTCTTTTCTTATGAAAATGGGAGGGTGGTCAGTGATGGCTCTTAGTTATGTATGAAATTTGTACATTAAACAGCTGAAGGCTTTGCTTCATTACCCTGAAGTAGGACCCGGAGCATTATCTTCAATAAGGGTTTTCGTGTTTTTAAAGAAATGTGCAACTCGTATTACTGGCTTAAAAACTTAAAAAGGTAGCAGTCGAAGTATCACAGCAGAAAAAGCCTTCTATTTTCAGCAGTGTCTGAAATGCAGATACTGATTTCCTCATTCAGTAATTTATCCAAAACATCAAGGACAGAGGCACTTGTTCAATGTGGCAAGACATCCTTCAGTCTCAAGGCAGTATTCCTGAGACGGGGCAAGACCAGGTTGTATCTGTGGGATGTCCAGCTTCAAGCTAAGAGCATTATCCTCTTTCCCCCTCTACACCAAATCCCACAATGCAGCTGACCACAAATCCACAATTCATCACGAAAACAGCACAGAAAAACACATTTCAGGTTCCCATCTTTGCTCATTCAGAACAAGATCTCACACACAGACACACAAATAAATGAATCAGAGCATTGTGGGGTTTTAAAAGCAGAACACAGGTTTATTTACAATCAAGTTCTTATGGGCAGCTGAATAAATAAAAACTTTGCCCCATATACTCTAACTCCCCTCTGCAGAAAGTGTCTGAACAAAAGGCTAGGTTAGAGAGATGCCTGTTATAGTGGCTGCCCCCTAATCCAGCCTTCCAAAGAACACACTTCCTTAGTAAAACACTATCAGGAAAGAAGAAAATAAAGTGCAAATAAAAAGGCAATAAAACGCTGGTGGCTTGTCTTGAGGCCCAGATGATGTGGAAAAGTTTGGCTGGATAAAGTTCTGCCAGGTAGCTCACACCCAGCCACATCATGGTTTTGGATGCTTAAAGAGGGACAGAGTCAAGACACTGCTCCGTAGCACAGAGAGGGCTCCAGCGCAAACAGGAATATTGCACGTGTGCTCAAGAAGGGGGCAAGTGGCCTGGAATTGCCAGCACCAAAACAATGGATTTGGGATTTAACCCCACTGCTCCCCTGTGTTCTACTGACAGCCTCCAGGACAGGACGGATGAACAGAAAAAGGGACCAAACATCTATACTCTGGTACCGAAGTCACAGTATGACTACATTCCTTATCACAGCAGCACAACAGAAGTTGAACTTCTCTCTCCTCACGCCCAGTAACCAAACTGCCTGTGGAATAAAAAGATTAAAAATCTCCTGTTTTGTGACACCCAAGCTGTTGAAGGGCATGTTAACAAAAGGGTGCCCAAGTCCTGAAGAATGGACCATTGCCTTAAGAACAGGTGAAACTGATACAAAAAATTCACAACAGTGCTGGAGAACCCGTGTCAGGATCGGAGCAGATCTGAATTGAGCTGATAACTCAAAGGCAGAGCTGCCAGAGCTGCGGGAGACCCTCTTTAAAAGCCACTCCAACACTTCAGACTGCCTAGGACCTGTCCATGTTTCAGGATCTTCTCACCCCATGCCTGAACTAGGCCACAAGAACAGAACACAGGAGACAGGACATGTATTAAGTCAGCATACACAGTAACTTCTTTCCAACATTTCCAACTCAGAAGTGCTGTAGATACATTTGTGTGACAGGGTATTTGGCACAGCTGTCTGGTGAGGAATCCCGTTAGTATCTTCAGCTCCACTTGGTGCATAGATACTGCATGTAAAGGCATGACTAAGTAGCATTCTCCATCCAGAACAGCTAATCCCTTGCTGAATCCGAGTACCACAGTGCAGTTACGGCCGTAAGAAGTCTGACTCAGGCTCCTTCTCCGTTGCTTTAGAACTTTCCTCTGGAAAGTGAAGCCCATGTGCTTGTTAATATCCCGACTCAGGATGGATCTGGGCTCGGGTCTCCATTCTGTTCAGCCACGGACCAGCACCACCATACACAGAGGCGCTGGATGCTCTGCCTTTCACCCTCCGTCCAGTCAAAATTCAGACCACAGGACAGCCTTGTTTCCTTTGTCCACACTGACAACATGGGCACCCGCTGGTGACCATGCGACTGCATTGATAGAAGAACTGAAATGGAAGCCAGGTGTAAGTTTACAAAAAAGCTGAATTCCACAACAGCACTTAACACTGGAATGAAATATTATAGTAATCTGGCTATCAAAGAAAAAGTATCTTCTCAGCTCTCAAGAGACTTGAGCTTTCAATAAGCCTAAGAGAGATACAGTTTCTCACAATATATTAAAATGTACTTTATTAGAATCATATCTCAGTTTAAGAAGTTGAACAATAACCAACCTAACCTCAATTCAATCTAGAGAATACTGCCATGAATCCACAAAGAATCTGCATGTTAAAAATTTTCACACACCAATTAAGTTGCAAAGCTGTACAATTCTTTCATAGCTCAGCAAGATTCACAACCCAGATCCCCGCTTTAGATTATACGGCCAGCTTCCCCTCACCTGTGATGCTTCGCAAGCGTCCTCTCCAATTTCCCAGTGAGCACGTTCCAAATGTAGAGGGCCCCATCAGCTGAACCAGCAGCCACATAGTTACCATCAGGACTATGAGATCAGAGAAGGTGCAGAAGGTAGACAACAATTTTCAAGTCAGCAATTTATCAGCACACATCATCATTCCACCTGCAACTTCCTAAGCAAGCAACTCGGCATTAAATAGTCTTCTAAGAGTTGCGCGTTACCAGCCGCTAACACTAAGAGGTGAAAGCACTTTGAAATCAGAAATTTTCCAAGACATTGGATCAACATCTACAGATATACTCTGTCTTGACCAAGACGTAACATTGGGCAAATCACAAACTCTGCCCCTGTTTTTCTAGCTGTAAATGGGGTCGATGCAGCCAAGCATCAAGAATCACTCACTCTTGCTGGGGAAAGATTTATCGGATACCTTGCTTATATCTGACCTTACCTGAACACAACTCTTGTCCAGTCAGAACCACATTTGAATCCCTGGGCACTGAAAAGTTAGAAACAGATAATTGTAAATTCATTTATAAGAAGATGGACTTCCAGGTTCTCACTATAGAGCATGGTAAGGATTTTCTACATGGTTTGGAATGAGCTCCAATATCCCTCTGTTGCAATTCACATTTCTTGTACACCCTCCTCTCAATCATATCTGAAGAAATTCTTTACTTTAGGCTGAAGACTTCTAAGCCAAGCTATCTTCTTTAAAGAGGTAAATGAAAAGATCCACCAGAGCAGATCTTTGCTGTTAGACCCTAGAGAACTTTGCTACACATGTAGAAAAAAAGTTAGGAGACTGCTCTGTCCATGGAGATGCTGAAAAACACTCCAACACTGAGGGCAATCTGCAATCCAAAGTTCCGAAATTCATAATGTTCTTGTGGAGAACACACTCACCTGAATGTCTGCTTGACAGCACTAACTCGCAGATCAATGATCTTTAGTAGATCATCACGGGAACAGGTCAAAAGCTCTGTTCGCTCTGAGTTCAGGTCCAGAGCTGTGATTCTTCCAAGCAGCTCCAGTTCTTTTACTATGCTTTCAGTCCTAAAGATGTGGGGGGGTGGGGGGGGAGGAGAAAAAAAGAAAAAGTAAACCAGGGTCCAGAAGCCAGACTACTGCATCAAAACTTTAACTTGTCCCAATGTGGAAGAAGAGGAGAAAAAGGATTACTCGTTTATTCTCACATTTTGATTCTTTCCCAAGCTAGATCTCACTTTGTGGATACCATTTCCAGCCAGTAGTTAGACACTGTCTTGCTCACAACCCCACTCTGAAAAACTAAACAACATCTAGAATGGCAGCTACAGCCCCCCGCAAAACATTTACAAGAAAGCAGATTGTCTTTTCAGAAAAGAAACAGCATCCCCCCCAAATCCCAACCCCAAAATATCAAACAGTATAAAAGTAGTAACAAAAGTCTCTTTCAGTGGCCTTCTGCAACTCTTACAACAGTCTCATTAGCTCCCAAGCTCAGAAAGAAGAGTTTGCTAGTTCAGATTATACTCAGACAGCAATCCTATAACCACTCTTACACTATAAGATCTCTTGCAATAGTTTTACCTGATGTCCCAGAAACGAATTTTCTTATCAAAATGTCCACTCATTACACATTGCTCAGTACATACGATGTCATTGCAGCTAGATCCTGCAAACACTGTTTTAATACCTAAAAAGGATAAACCGATGGTGACACACTGGAATTTATACTGTACAAACTGATGAAAACAGAGACAGAAAACAATCACGATACCACACACACACAGAGTGGCCACACAAAGCAGTGTCCAAGGAGGGCCACAGGGCAGACAAACTCTTAGAATAATCCTGACTTAAGACTTCAACAACCTCTCTGTCCTTCTCAATCTCCTTTGCTGTGGCTAATATCCCTTTAAATGCTCCCATGACAGCTGCTTTACTTCCACTTTTTATTTACACAGCTATGATTTGCTACTGTTAAACAACATGAAACTGTCTCCTTGACCTATGTTTGCAGTCCAGGTATCAAAGTAACCTTGAATCTTGACTCAGTGCAAGCAGGTTTAAGAGCTATCAATAGGAGAAAAGTCAAGGAAATAAGGTGTTTCTCCCAAAGAACAGTCTGGATCCTAGCATTTCCTTCATTTGAGATGTTGAAATTTTTGGTACATTTCCAAGAGACATTTCCATCCACCTCAGGGTTAAGAACTCTGAGCTGGCTCCAAGTTTTTAGTGGAAGACTAAAATACCCACCCCCAGACTGGTAAACAAAGAACACTCGCAGAACACAGCTGCTATTAATGTAATAGCATTAACAGTGCTTCCTGCATACACATGATTTCTTATTCTTATTTCAGGTAACAGGCAGAAAGAATCCAATTACTTGAATAACAACAGAAGATGGCACAGCTGATAGTTTTACTTTTTTAGACTAGCAAGAAGATGAAATAATCTAGCTGATGTCAGGCTTCCATTTACATTCTGTAGAAGCACAGAACATGGACGAAAGACAAAAGTTAGGTTTCCTTACAAACTTTGCTGCGGAGGTCCCAGAGCTTGAGGGTCCGGTCATGACTTCCCGAAACAATGCGTGCATTGTCCAGCAAGAACTTGGCTGACAGAACTTTACCGCTGTGACCTGTCAGGGTGTGCTGAGGACGAGAGATTTACATGGTAGAATTGCAAGTTCCACTTGCTCCCTTTCCTTGTAGCTTACTAGTTCTGCTATTTAACAACTCAAAGACAGTCTTAAATCATAATTTGCATGTCTACTGCATTGCTTGGAGGGAAAAAGAAAATATCTATTGTAGTTAAACAGAGATTAACACTGAGTAGGAGTGTTAAGTACCACAGAGTTCACCCTGAGGCTGGGAGACACAGGTCATCTTTGGCTGCAGTCTCTCTAGCTACTCAGGCAACCTGCAAGCTCTCTTCCTCAACACTCCATACACCTACGTTTCATGGACAGATGGCAACTGCAACACAGCCTTGGAGGAGTGATGAGGAGAAGGGGTTAAAGCATGTTGAAAATGGAAATTGTGCCTTTAGGTTTTTATAACGAGCTTCTCTCAAGGATACAACAGGATATCTGGTCTCAACTGTTACATCTTCAAGCCTGAAAGCTGAGACAATGAGATTTCGGAGAAAAACTCCCTGCAGCAGTTTCTGTAACTGCAGGGGGAGGCTCTGTGGGAATGAAGAACATGAACCACATTCACTTCAAATTGCTGAATATTTACATACTAAATCACAGAACAGGTAATGAATGACTGAAGTAAGAATTGTGAAAAACAAGAGAGAAATCTTTGGTCTATAGTTATATTTTTTTAAATACTCAAAGGACTATCAAATTACACAAACCAATCTGGGCTTGGGAAATACAAAAGAAAAACCCTTAAGAATGGAAAGGAATGGGAGCAAAGTTTGGGAAAAAAGCAAACCTGATACACAACAAAAACTCTGAAAGAACAAATCATCCCATAAAGACCACTTCTTAAGAAAGGACAAACAGCAAGAAGGAGGATCTGAACTTCCACTCTGCATCTCTTATGCTCTTGCTGCACAGTCATTACGTACAGATATTTGCATTGATATTTGTAGGGAGTTTGTGGCAAAATTTATCATGATTTCAGCTTCACTGCCTCCTGCTCATGTGCAAGCCATGACAAATCCACACCACACACACTCAAAACAAAGAATGCGCTATTTTATCTGGGCAAACAGTGAATGCACTCACCAAAAGCTGGTAGTCACCAAGGACACCAAAAAATTACAGGAAGATACTGTGAAGCCAGGTGGATGTTTGCAGGGATAACTAACTTTTTGTAGTGAGTAATCTATAGTCTGCTAAACTTCCATTCACTATAATTCACATCCAATAGTAGGTTTTGCAGCCAAACAGAAGCTACAAAAGAACTGATATTCTTCACTTTCCTAAGTGAGACCTGACATCTCCACACTGAGAACTACCCAGTGAATTGCAATGTAACTGTAGGTTATAACTAACATGCAAAATGTCAGAAGATTCAGAACATCGAAGTAGCATCTCCCTAAAATAAGAAGTTGAAGAAAAGTGTACATAGGAATGACAATTAGAAAAAAACCTCTTGGAAAGCTGAAAAGAAACTTTTCTTTTGGTCAATCAAAGGTGAATACTTCTTTAACCTAGAGCTAAGTGTTGCAGAAGAACGTGAGTACAAAGGAATTCGGAGGAGAGGAGGAATCTTTCAAAAGACATTAAGAATAAAGTCAAAAACTTTTAGGCTTGCTGCTTTTCACAGCTAGGCAAAGAACTCCTTTTCAAGAATGGTGCTCCTGACTTAAAACAAAAAAAATCCCTCTGTCTTCTGCAAACCCTTCTTCAGCAGTCCTCTCCTTGGACTGAGGCTAAAACATTGAAGTGGTTCTCCATAAACCAGAAGCATTTAAACTTCCACAGAGGGGGATGCAAAAGCATATTAGGTTTACGTAGTAAGGTTTTGCCAGCAGGGGGGCTGTATTGCAAAAATATGCAGTAACTGGAGTTTCCTGCAAGGCTGTGCAGAGAGCAATACTGTATTTTAGGTCTTGCCGTGAAGACCCTTAAGAGAAATAAAGGGTCTGTTAACAAAAAGAATTATTGGAAGTGTCTGTAAATGCCCAACTTCCAAAATTGCCATGTCCCCATTAGACAAAACTGGAAATACAAGACAGAAACAGCCTGAGCACTGCTTTGCCTTCAAGAGACTCACCCGTAATCGATTGTCATCAACCGTCCAGATTCTGCTGGCAAAGTCATTTGAAGCTGCTAAGAGGTAAGAACCCTGTGAAACACAAGATTAATTTAAAACTACTTCTGCAAGTCAATATGCAAATTAAAAGTATTCCAATAAATCATTAAAACCATATTTGTGCTATATTGCCAAGGTAAAAAAAAAAAAAAGAACAAAAACCAAAAACACAGTAGCATATACCAGTAAGGAAAGCTAGTGTAACAACTTTCAAAAAGGCTATGGCTTTTTCTTCTCATCAAAACGTGACAGTCATTTGTAGAATCATGACTACAGGTTAAAGGAATAACAATAATCAGACCAGAAAGGACATTCTCCTTTCCCTTCTGCTGCAGTAAGGAAATGGGTTCTAGTTTATCCTTATCTATTGTGGTTTTTTTTTTTTCTTTTTTTGATTTTTCACAAGGAAAAAGCCCTGCATCATCTACCCCACTGCTTAGATAGGCCTCAGAGTAGAATTAGCCCAATTCTCACAATTTTCATTACAATTCTAACATTTTAAACTAAGATTCCAAAAACTAAATCTGTCCAAGTAGAGATAAATTGACTTGTTCATGGCTTTAGGCTTAGGGCTCTTCCAAGTCATCCACGATGGAGAATGGACACCACAAGATTCAAGCTTGCCCTCCAGTCTATCTCAAAAGACTTTCCTGAATCCTTAAAACCCATTAGCATCTCACCTCAGGCAGTTCTCACCTCAAATGTGTTCAAGCAGCTTGCGAAAATCAGAACTAGTTTCTCCCGAAGATTAACAGTGCCAGCAAATCTCTAATGAGCTGGTCAGTGTCCAAAGGAAGTACCCTTTCGGGTGTGTATCAATGAAGTTTAGCACATAGAATCACCAAATGGAAGAAATTATGTCAGCTTTGGTCTACTGTCTATGCAGTAAAGCACTGTGTTATGGGAGAGGTCTCAGCAGAAAAGTCAGATCACATGTCCAGTTTTAACAATCCAAGACCCCAAACTCCTTCAAGTAGAGACTTTTGGATGCTGGTTCCAGTCATGTCTCCGATACTTCAGGTTAACATGAACTGAACACATCACAAGCTGTCAGCAAACACTCTGCCAGCCACACCATTACTGTGCCATGACTGGTGAGAAACTGCTGGGAGGAAAGGTCATGGAACTGCAAGTTGTAGGATAATCAGACCTTTTACTATTCATCACAGACCTCAGCAGAGCACTTATGGAAATAAACTTCACAGAAGTAAAGTCTCAGTGTATTTGCTGCTTTTGTGCTGTTATGCCAGCTTCAGTGGGAAGCTGAAGATTAATTTCTTACTTTAGACAAAGCCTAGTGTATTTTATTGTAATTTTATCATAATAGCCCGTAACAGCCAATGTCTGAGCTGCATATCATCTTCTGAATTGTAAAGCAAAGATGTGGCTACAGATTGCAGCATATCAAATAAATATCTCTTGTACAATTTTTAACTATTTGCAGTTACTCTTATAAGTATTTTAACTCATCTCTTGGGTAACTTTTCAAAGTGTTAGAATGGAAATTGATAGCAGAGCACAACATAATTGAATTCATTTATTCCCAATCAGAAACAGTGGATATTGCACAGATACTCACAGCACTATCAAATTCTATGCTTGTAATCCCAGCATTACTACCAGAGAGGGAACCTTTGGGCTCACACCTATCTGCACAGAGAAAGACAACAAAACTTAAGCAATGGATTAGAACAGAAGCTGACACAAAGTGAATTATAATGTGAGTTTGTTTAGCATCCCACCATACCCCAAAGCAAAGAAGTTTACCTCCCAAGACTTCCCAAAGCTTAACCCTCCGGTCCATGCCTCCTGTTGCTAGTAACCGGGAGCCAGGGCTGAACTGCACTGCATTCACCTCCCCATCATGTGCATCCTGAGGAGTGGGAGGAACAGAACAGCCACCCAAAATGGAATTAGCACAGACCCAAAAAACCACAGATTAGAAAGCTATAGAACTTAAAGGTTATACAGAACCACAGCTGTAGATCTTTCAGCAGTATATAGGAAACGAAGCCACAGACTGAAACTCTACTATGGTTGAGGATGTACAAACAGAGCAAAAAGGCTGATCCTTATCTAAAGAAAAAAACAAAAGCACAAAAAAACACTAGCAAGGACTCAACAGTGATAAACTGCTAGAAGCCTTACAATGCTTCATAAGTTTAGGCTTTAGAAGGCAAGGCTTTTAAGTTACACCAGAAAAAAAAAATTAAGGGAAGGACATGACAGAAAACAGTAACAGGTGATATGCTGTAGAAGGAAACTAACTTTTCATTTCTCCATCTAGAGCCAGCCATGGAACATGATCCAATCAGTTCATGCAACCACAGAACACTCAAGTCGGGCTTGAGTTAGGAAAGTCTGCTAGAAAACAGCATAACAGATTAACTACATTCATTTAGTGTATTGGTGATAATGCTACTTTATATTAGTGATTAAGTAGCACCAGCACAGTTGTGACAGCACCTTCTCTCACAGAGAACTTGGGCTTAAGCTGTGGTTCCTATCTGCAGGTGCAGTGACACCCCTGCTTTCTCACAGCTTAACGTTTTGAAGCTTGAGTTGGCCACTTAATAGTGATTCTTAACCTTTTAAAACCTATGAGAAATTTAAGATTCCTTCTTTCCCCCCCCCCCCATTATATTAGTACCACATTCTTAATTCATTTGCTGCATTCCTTTTAAGTATTTTTAGTAACTGCTCTTTCAAAATCACTTTTTCTGGAAACTTGTATTTTTCTGGAACTTGTTGCTCAAACTTGGTCTGCCAGCTCATATTTAGGGGACATCACACTTCAAATCTCATCTTTCCACAAGTGCAGAAGAGCCATTCAGAACAAAACTGGTCAAAGGTCTTGCCTAGAAACTATGCCCAAGAATGACAGCTGAAGTGACTAGAAGTGACTACCTTCTCCACCTTCCCAAGCCTGTTCTACCCATCTCTCTAGAAGTGAGCCCAGTCTGCTCCCTGTATCTGCCAAACCTCTGGCACAGAGTCCTTGCATTCATTCCTGGAATGCTCTGTTGGACCTAGACATGTCCTCACACTCCACCTGGGCTCCAAACACAGGAACTAAAACATAACACAGATCATCTCCAGAAGGAACATATGGATTCCCATAAAACGAGTAGAGACTTTTTCCTTTTAATATTGCAGTGCTAACCACACATCACCTCTACACTGCCGCAGTCGGACAGGCTTACTACTGCAGCTGTTCCTACTCCTGCTGCAAGATGGGGAATTGGAGTGGGGCAGCATTCTCCGCATTGCCAAGACTAGGGGTCAGCATAGTCTACTGTGGTTTGCCCCTCCATATTGGGAAGACAGGCTGCGCTGCTCTTGGGAAGTTCAGATGACATTACAGAAGATCAAGAGAAAGGTGAAAACAACATAACCTCTCACACAGTTCTTGAAAACCTCACATATGTAGCTTTGCAATACCTTTTGCAATGAAATTAGCCAAGATGATTATACCTGTTGATCAACTGTGCTTGCTGTACACAGCCAGAGGAGGAGAGAGGTTGCAACATATACTGCAGCCACAAACACCTCCTCTGATGCTCCCTATTCAAGCCAGCTCCAGGCCTGTCACTTAAGTTATGACCCTATTCTCACTTAAGGTAACATTGCTACTCTCTCCACCACATGACTTCCACTAGAGAAGATGGTAACAGGGCAGGCTAGGAATACACAAGCCTCTGTGCTGCAGTGAGTTGATGTTACTCTGGATGAAAAAAGTAAGTCATTTCACATCCATGAAATATCCACATCCAGCACTGGAGTGCCCGAGAAAGCTCAAGAGGAAAGTTCAAACAAGTAGCTGTGTTACAAGACACTTTACCACAATATCTATCATTCAGAAGGCAATGCCCTTCACAGAAATTTAAGTTTGGCCTTCCGAGGCCAAAACAATGCATAAAGGAGGTCTCAGCTTGAAAACTTTAGATCACACACAACAAATGACACCCCATTACCACGAGCTCCTCTTAATCTGTTCTGTTGGATGATATTCAGTGCCACAACTCCCTTCACTGTGGAGAACTGGAACTGAATTAATCCCAAACTGTCAGCAATCTCTTCCTCAATCATAGCTCTACTATGGCATGACAGAACAGGGACTGCTGGGAGCCAAGAAGGTAATGGAGTGTAATTCCCCTGTGCCCTCAGACCTTTTACTAGTCATCATTGACCTCAGTAAGACAGACATCAAGCACATTGGCTGTGAGAAGCATTTGGGCTAAGAATTAAATGGGATAAACTATACCAACAAATCAAGAATTCGTTCTTGTTTGGCAATGTTAACAGAAAGAGTTTCAGGAGATCAGTTCCCACACAGATAGGATTCACTTCCTCCAAAGACAGTAAAAGACATGATAAAACCGAGAATTCGTTCTATACTTACAAAGACACATATGGCAGTAGTGGGCACTCTCACTTCTTTACTGGCACCTGGATGTGGCTCTACATTATCCTGGGGAGCAGGGAATGAGGACAAAGAACGCCTCCTGAGATGAAACAAAGTAGAAATATTTTAAAACAAGAAGTGAACACTGTTTCTCTTGAGTTCATCCAGATCTGAACCTGTCACTCGACTACACTGTACAGTGATTAAAAAAATGGGGGAAGGATTTAACTTTCTTTTATCCCGTCTTTCAAAAATTACATTTGTCATTTAACACTACATCCACTTGTGCCTTTAGATATTTCATAGTATGCCAGATAAGTTACCTGAACTGATTACTGACCTCATTTTGGAGCAGTCTTTCTTTTTTTTTAATAGGAAAGAGAAACATGGGAATGACTGCAGCTGAGTTCAGCTGGAAAGACTGCAACTCCATCATTATGTCTAGGGTGACTCAACACCATTGCAGCACTACATCCCAGGCAGCAAAATGCTCCATTCAAAAAACTCAGGCTGCACCATTTCAGCAAAGACCGTCCACCTAATGCAGAGCTTGACTTTGAAGGACTGGCTCCACTCTGGATACTAAGCACAGAACCCAACAACTTATTTTAAATAACCCTACTAAAGGAGCAAAGTGCAGTGGAAAGTAAGAGCAAACCCCGTGTATTCTCTCCACAAAGAGGGGCTCACTGCCTCTCTAACTGTAGCCAATGTTACCAACATTTGAAATCTAATCAGGATAATGCAGCTGGGTTCTGTGTTACTTCAATGGAATACATTCACATGCTGGACTAAGAGCGGATAATGTTTTCACCTGGCAGCATCAGAAGATTGATGTCCCAAAAGGGGAGACTCAGACAGACTGGAGGGAAAGGTCAGAGGTCAGCACACGGCAAGATGGAAGAAACAGGAAGTTGAGGAGAACAAAAAAGAAAAAAAAGAAAGGCAGAAGCTAGAAGAAAGGCTGAAATTATTTGTTTGTATTCCCTGCATCACCAAGATTTTGGTGTACATTGAAACCAATATACAAAAAAAGAGGTGAAAGTGTTCTAACCTACCCAAAGATATTAGTGATAGAGTCCAGAAGGCCTCCAGCTGGCTGGGAGAGTCGCTTACTGAAGGAGGGGAGGACAGGTTTAAACCTTGTGAATAGCTTCTCCACATAAAGATCAATACAAACACATTTCATAGCAACAAGTCTCTGGAAAGACTCCCTCCCCTGCAGACCCAGTCCGAAGACAGAAAACACCAAAGGCAGGCATCAGTTCAGAAGTCACCAGTAACTACAACTCAGAACATAATTTGTGAGTGAAGTTTCTTCAATTTCCCTCAACCTCCACCCTGTGAATTACTGGGTTTAGATAACAGTCTGCCAAGTCTGAAGTTTCAACCAAATTAATCCATGTTCTTATGTAACTACCTCTTACTTTCCACTCACTGCTATTTTAGAGGAAGAAAAAGCTGCATTCAATCTAGGTGAAGACATTTTAAGCATTTCAGCTAAATCAAAAAAGCAGCTATTTGTTAAGTCACATTGATATCTTGTATAGTAACAGAGATATAATACAACAGGCACTGCAATACCCATTTTATTGTCTATTTTTGCTTTTAAACCTTTGTTTTTAAGATTAGACACAATTTTCAGACACTAGTTTAATCTATTTAAAACAGCAAAGGAAAAACAGAGGATATCTAGAGCATGGTAACACAGCACATTGAGTTTCATACTGCTCTGGTGGAAATACTAAACTGTGTTCCAGCTAAAGGCAAGTAAAAGCTGTAAGTAACACTCCCAACATTGCTTCAACTCTTAGATCCCTTGTTCTTCCTCAGTGACATGAAACAAAAATCTCTCGGTCTACAAACCTGGATGTTCGGCTGACAGCTCGTACTGGAGATGTCTCCTCAGCTGTGTCAGAGGTTTCATCTGCAAGCACTTCAATATCATCATCCCTGCTGAAGTGAGAGAAAACACCTCATTTTCAATCAGCCAGAGCTTCCTATGGAAACCATCCACTGCTGTATATGAACTGAACGGACAACGCTGTTCCAGGGTCTGTCGGTGTCTGCACCCAACCAGCATCTAGGTTTACTTAGCTGTATAGTAACACGTAGGTAGATTCAGACGACACAAACACGCATCTAGCTGTTGCTGCCAAAGATCATACATTCAACATACAATGTCTGAAAACAAGTACCTGCAGCACCTAAATTTCAGTTTTTTTCTTTCCAGCTGCCAGTTACAACAGTGACAACAGGGCTGGATTCCCCCCCGCCCCATATTTATGTTGACAGGCATCCTTTCCAGGTTCTCTTTACTACAGCCATTATATTTCAGCTTGCAGCATTATAAGGATCTGTCACATCTGAGCAAGACTTTGCTACAGAGTGAACTATATTTGCTGGAACAGTTACAGAACAGCAAAAACATGCGTTATTGCAACCCCAAATATAGGTGATATCCTATTTTCACAGCACCTTTTTTGCTGTTTCAAAACAAGGAAGTATTAAAGAAAGCACAAGAGTGTGAATTTTCCTTCTTCATCCACACCAAAGACATCTGGATACTTTATATACTGTTGTACCTCAGGTGCTGCTCCATTAAGTACAAGAGATGTTTTGGTACACTTCTGTTCAATTGTACACCAACACTTTAATGAAGTGTGAGGTTCCAATACATATATACCATAAATTAATCCAGCTAAACTACTCAGCTAATGCTAAGAGGTTTTTCCCCATTAGTCATCATGGGCTCCGAGAGTCTAGTATTTTTTCCTTCAATGATGATTTTTCCTCCACTGCCGCCTTTGCAGGACAAACTATTTTTAAACACACTCTATCAACCTGTCAGTGCCATTTGACTGAACAGGAAGTTTTAATTCAGCATTTAAGTAGGAATAAACCAATTCCTGCCATCAGATAACACTCAGCTGCAAGAGAACTGAAGAGGATGGGACCATTTTTAATCTCTCATTTCAGAATATAGCCGCACTTTAAGTTCTATGATTTTGGAGGGCAGTATATATGGACAAGGCTATGGAAAATATATACTCCGATTGAAAGTGTCAGGCTGATATTTCAACAAAACACTACCAAGTTCTGCTGACATTTCTTTTCTAAAATCTAAAGTTTGAGCTATTAAAATTGTATGCAGCAAAAAAAAAACAAACAAACAACTTTCCAAGTTAACGTAACATATTTTTTTGAAGTGAATATAAACACCAGGGCAGACTCCTTGAAATGCTGCAATTTTCCACTTCAGGAAGCGGCACACTTATACAATACAAACCCTCTAAAATTACAAAATCAAAAAGAAGGAATCAAAAACAGCTGTGAAGCAGTTTGAATTATTTACAGAAGCAATTATTTTCTAGATTTTTTTTTTAAATAGGCTCCTTTTTAACTTATCAGTGTCTCATATCAAATTAGTTATGAAACACCAAGACCATCATCCCCACCACAACAGGAAGTAAAATATGCAAGCTGTTGTGTTATAGCTGCCTCTGAGCTTGGCTCTAAGATAGAAAGGTCTCGTTTTGGGTAATGGAGAGGAAGAAGCTTAACAGGGAAAGTGGAGACAGACATTACATGTGTGTTTCCCCTCTCAGTGCAGCATTATTTATTGATGAGTTTAATATTCTAAGATATGCTGTGTGCGTTTACATCAAATAACATGGACAAAAGGGATATCACTATTCTTATGAGCTGGGAAGACTGTCCTCTGGCTTGGACTGTCCACTGGCCTGTGACACAGAGGTCAGCAGTAAGCTTGTAATGGAGAGTCACACCTCAATAAGCTAAGGGAATGGAAGCATTTAAACATTTCTTAAAAAAAAAATGCAAAGCAAATTGTGCTAACTATTTGTATTGTTAATTGCAGCTTCGATTTTCCTTCCAAATGCTACAAGCTCTCCCATACTCCCCTTATACATGCTCTTCCTACCTACCCCAGACTTCTGCACGGGCCCTCTTCCAGAGCAGACACATTGCTCCTGTCGTGTGCAAGGACATGCAGCACAGAGACCTAACGTGATTACATGATGCTAATACAAAGATAACAGATATGAAGAAAAACCCTGCACACTGCTCTGGCAATGTGCTCAGAGGACTGTCTCAGGTGATTCCAGTAACAATGCAGCAGGTGTAGTTTTGCTGGATGTGGCTAATGCAAGTGCCAATAACCTTATCAACCTGGTGCAAAGCACCTATACCATCAACTGCCTACTTCAGCCAGCTGATTACACACCACCCAGGAGTAAACACAGCAGTGAATATCCATGTGCTGCTGCTGAAAAGAACAAGAGACTAGAGATATTTCTCTCTAGCTTCCCAGGAAAAGTAACTCCACATTCATCTATTTTTTTTCCCTACCCCACAGAATAAATCTCTCCCAGTATGGAAGTGATCAATATACCTTCACCCACCTTAACTCACTCAGTACCTGTTCCTACAGGAAACCCTTGATCCTATTTGTAGTCTAACACTTAAAAATGTAACCATCTCAGGAGTATACTGCTCCATGATTAAAGAACTATTTTAAAGACCAAAGGCACCACATAACAAATGTGACTTATGCTGAGATAAGAATATATATTCACCATATGAACCATTCTTAGGACTTACCATCCAAGCATCTATTTTTAGTCATAACAGAGCTCCTTCTTCTGGAAGTTCAAGGAGGGAGAGTTACTGTACATTTTTGACTTTGCACCAAAGTTGAAACACTCCTCTACATCACCAAATTTAGAAATAACAAAGATACCATTTATCATGCATCTGCATAAAACTGAAGCATGAAGTGATGAAGGAGACTCTGTAAATCAAGACTGCTTACGGTTCAACAGGCAGGGGTTCTTTGGCAGCTTCTGCTAGCTCCTTCTGCAGCCTGGCTTGTCGTCTCCTAAAAAAAAGGAAAAGTTATTTAAAACAAAACAAAACAAAAAACCTTCCTTAATCCCATTCCAAAGCTTACCCTGCACAGTTTTGATGGGCTTCATAAGATTTAAAAAAAAATAATTAAAAAATCAGACCACTGCCCTAATTTTATCCTACTTTTCAAGATACTCAGTGCAGGAGACGCAGGTTTTTTTCCTGTGAATAGAGAAGGACAAGACCGATTGAGCGAGGCAATAAGGCGAAGTGTACCTACAGCCCTTCATGACCCACATGAATGGGGATTTGCTTGGAGTGCAAGAACTTGCAAAAATAATGATTATTTTGTATTACGTAAGATAATACAAAACTGCCAAGTACTATGAGACTTGTCTTATAGTTCTTAGTCTCCAAGTATTGTTAGTTGGCAAGTAAGCTGAAGCAATTCAGAAGAAAAATTACTATTTTGCAAGGAAAAAAAAGTACAAACTTATTTCTGCAAGTTCAGTCTCATGGCAGCTTCTCCTGTTAGCAGAATGCAAAATACACTTAAATTGGTTAAGGATAAAACTAGGAGTAGTATCAAGATGCAATATGAACAAGAGAAGTCCAAATCTAATACCAGGAAAAAAAACCAAACCCAAACAGTTTCTATCTGATTTATGATCTTTAGGCAGTAGTTAAATGTTGCTCAAGAAACAAAAGAACATGTTTTATTCATTTAAAACACAGGAATGTTTTCACAAAGCATCCGTCTCTGTTGGCCAAAAGAAGGAACACGAAGTTCTGGACTCTCATTGTGTTGTGCAAGAATACAGACATCAAAACTAAATCTGGTTTTATCCTATGCACTCATAAGTATTCAAAAATATACTGGGAAGTAGTTTATCAAATAGAGGTGATCAATCTCACCTCGAATCCTTTTCATTTTCTGCATTCAAACGATTGGCTTCTTGTGCTTTCTCTGCCATCCAACGTGAGACCAGCTCCTGGTTGTCTTCAGTAGTTTTCCTCAGTTTCTCCTCCAAGGCATTGAAGGTGATCTGGAGAGCATCATATTCATCTTTCAGTGTCTGATTAGCTCGCTCAAGATCTTGCAGTTTGCTACGCAATTCCTGGCACTCTGTTTCCAGTTCAGAGATCTTTTGCAAATATTCTGCAATCCTGGAACGCAACAAAACATACAAAACAATGAGGATCTCCTTTGGGACCTATACCATCCATGATTGTGCTATTTGTACAATGTCTAACAAAGGAATTTTTAGCCCACAGCTAGGGCTCCTAGAGAATATTATAACACCAATAAATAACTCAACCACAAGTCTGGGTCTCATACCAACCACACAGACAAAACAGTTCCTACTCACTTTGCTTCATTCATCTGCATCTCTTTGTCCTTTTGCTGCATTTGGTTATTCAGATCAATTACAGACTGGGCCAACTAGGAAAAGGAAAAAATTACGTTACAAAATGCAAGGATGCCAGCTGGATAACACACACTGAGCAGCAACCAGCAAGAGTACAGACCAATCTAACATCACAAGCAGGAAGCATACCTTTCAGGTGTTCTTTTACAGCAAGGATGCCAGCTGGATAACACACACTGAGCAGCAACCAGCAAGAGTACAGACCAATCTAACATCACAAGCAGGAAGCATACCTTTCAGGTGTTCTTTTACAGCAAGGATGCCAGCTGGATAACACACACTGAGCAGCAACCAGCAAGAGTACAGACCAATCTAACATCACAAGCAGGAAGCATACCTTTCAGGTGTTCTTTTACAGCAAGGATGCCAGCTGGATAACACACACTGAGCAGCAACCAGCAAGAGTACAGACCAATCTAACATCACAAGCAGGAAGCATACCTTTCAGGTGTTCTTTTACAGCAAGGATGCCAGCTGGATAACACACACTGAGCAGCAACCAGCAAGAGTACAGACCAATCTAACATCACAAGCAGGAAGCATACCTTTCAGGTGTTCTTTTACAGCAAGGATGCCAGCTGGATAACACACACTGAGCAGCAACCAGCAAGAGTACAGACCAATCTAACATCACAAGCAGGAAGCATACCTTTCAGGTGTTCTTTTACAGCAAGGATGCCAGCTGGATAACACACACTGAGCAGCAACCAGCAAGAGTACAGACCAATCTAACATCACAAGCAGGAAGCATACCTTTCAGGTGTTCTTTTACAGCAAGGATGCCAGCTGGATAACACACACTGAGCAGCAACCAGCAAGAGTACAGACCAATCTAACATCACAAGCAGGAAGCATACCTTTCAGGTGTTCTTTTACAGCAAGGATGCCAGCTGGATAACACACACTGAGCAGCAACCAGCAAGAGTACAGACCAATCTAACATCACAAGCAGGAAGCATACCTTTCAGGTGTTCTTTTACAGCAAGGATGCCAGCTGGATAACACACACTGAGCAGCAACCAGCAAGAGTACAGACCAATCTAACATCACAAGCAGGAAGCATACCTTTCAGGTGTTCTTTTACAGCAAGGATGCCAGCTGGATAACACACACTGAGCAGCAACCAGCAAGAGTACAGACCAATCTAACATCACAAGCAGGAAGCATACCTTTCAGGTGTTCTTTTACAGCAAGGATGCCAGCTGGATAACACACACTGAGCAGCAACCAGCAAGAGTACAGACCAATCTAACATCACAAGCAGGAAGCATACCTTTCAGGTGTTCTTTTACAGCAAGGATGCCAGCTGGATAACACACACTGAGCAGCAACCAGCAAGAGTACAGACCAATCTAACATCACAAGCAGGAAGCATACCTTTCAGGTGTTCTTTTACAGCAAGGATGCCAGCTGGATAACACACACTGAGCAGCAACCAGCAAGAGTACAGACCAATCTAACATCACAAGCAGGAAGCATACCTTTCAGGTGTTCTTTTACAGCAAGGATGCCAGCTGGATAACACACACTGAGCAGCAACCAGCAAGAGTACAGACCAATCTAACATCACAAGCAGGAAGCATACCTTTCAGGTGTTCTTTTACAGCAAGGATGCCAGCTGGATAACACACACTGAGCAGCAACCAGCAAGAGTACAGACCAATCTAACATCACAAGCAGGAAGCATACCTTTCAGGTGTTCTTTTACAGCAAGGATGCCAGCTGGATAACACACACTGAGCAGCAACCAGCAAGAGTACAGACCAATCTAACATCACAAGCAGGAAGCATACCTTTCAGGTGTTCTTTTACAGCAAGGATGCCAGCTGGATAACACACACTGAGCAGCAACCAGCAAGAGTACAGACCAATCTAACATCACAAGCAGGAAGCATACCTTTCAGGTGTTCTTTTACAGCAAGGATGCCAGCTGGATAACACACACTGAGCAGCAACCAGCAAGAGTACAGACCAATCTAACATCACAAGCAGGAAGCATACCTTTCAGGTGTTCTTTTACAGCAAGGATGCCAGCTGGATAACACACACTGAGCAGCAACCAGCAAGAGTACAGACCAATCTAACATCACAAGCAGGAAGCATACCTTTCAGGTGTTCTTTTACAGCAAGGATGCCAGCTGGATAACACACACTGAGCAGCAACCAGCAAGAGTACAGACCAATCTAACATCACAAGCAGGAAGCATACCTTTCAGGTGTTCTTTTACAGCTTTCTGTACAGACCTATTTACTGCCCCTCACACAGGTCATTAAATCAGGGAATCTACTTTCAAATATGAGTGGTCAAAAATGTATTGTCCTTTGAGATGTCACTCCCTTCCCTCAAGAAGTTTCTTTAATAAAATCACATCAAACACAATGCATATTAGGAAGAAATTTATTTTTTAAAGTCGTGGAAAAATCCATACAGAAGCTAAGAAGTGCCAAGTAAGTATACCAACACATGAGTATGAACAACCAAGCAACAAATCTTCCTGTTACGGCCAGGACAGCCGTTAAAGAAGACATGTAGCTAACATATTGTAAACAGAGGTTTCATGAAGAGTTTCCCACAAAGAAAGTTGCTGGTGAGTCCCTGCTGTGCACAGGAAATAGAGGGGCAGAGGCCAACACTAATGAGCTGCTGCTGCCAGCGCGCAGCTACCCAGTCAGTGAGCAGCAGCAAGACCCATAGCGCATGGAGAGCCTTGGCTGCCCAGAGAGAAGGAAGACTGAGTTTTGAGAGGAGTGCCTGCCTGGGTAGATGGCTTAGGGTACTACGTTGGAGGGAAAGAAGGAATTTTCACCATTTTGACCAGTCAGTGCACACCACCTGCAGAAAGCTGTCTCCTCTTTGAAAAGCTCAGAATTACTGACACTGGAGCTTCTCCACAACTCCAGTGAGCTGTGATCAAAGGAGCGTGATAACATTTTCCAGGTCACTCCCACCTTCTCCCTATGAAGTCTGCAGTACCATTCAGGTACTAGCTTCTGGACTCATGCAATCCACTGCTGCGGTTTTTAAAAACCCAATTCTGCTGATGAAGCCTCCACATCTTCCCATAAAAACAAAACAAAACAAAAAAAGATGAGAGAGCAACTTTTCCTCTCCTCCAGGCCCAAGTCTCATAGCTTACAGGACTCCTGGGCTCCCTACTGCATCTACATGGCAGAACCAGTAATCCCTTTTCAGTCTAACACCATGGCACGTTCAGCCTTTGCTTGTGCTTGTTTATTTAGCCCACTCTTTTATAGCAGTGGTCCTGCAAGTGGGAGAGACAAACAAAACCACACACAGCCACTTATTCTCTCACTCATTCAAAGCATTTTCAATGTAGAACTAGTAGTCATGTGCAGCTCTGTAAACTGGATCAGTTCCTTCCTCCTCTAATAAATACAGTTAAAAACCTATTCATGAAACACAAAATTAAGAACTGCTTAAAAATCATGCTATGCTGACAATGCAAGCTCTTCTCTCCTGGCTATCAGTTTTAAAAACCAATCATCTCTGGTTTATTTTAATCATCAACATGGAGAGCTTAAAAAGGCTGTACATGAAACGAGGAAAAAATGATGATGAATAAGCTTGGTAAAATTAAGGTCATGTTCACAAAGGGCCACATATGGACCATACAGAACATGAGAGGGGTTTCTAACCTCGCCACGTTTCTTATGCAGCTCTGTCAGCTCCTCTTGATGCTTTATCTTCAGCTGTGCCAGTTCCTGCAACTGAGCATCATTCCATGTGCCATCATGCCCTGGACTGGAGTTTGAGAGAGAGGAAGAAGAGATGTCACAAACTAGAATCCAATTGCTCCTGTGCCTTTGACCAGTTAAGTCTCAGGACAAGCTCCCTTGGATATTCTACATCAGAGATACAGGTCATTCATAACAAACTAAACCACAGCTAGCTCCCCCACAACACACTTCTCACCAACCAAACTGCCATTATATAGCACTGGAAAATTAAATTTACTGAGGACTCAATTCACCTTTTTGTAAATTTCTAAAATAGAATTCAAATGCAAATGAAAGATAACTAGCCTTTGCTTAAATTTGCATGAAGACAATTGAGTCTTAAAAGTACACTCTCCAAATTCTGCAAGAATTACAAATATTTTACCACCTCAAATTTGTTTTGGAGGGAGCTGGTGGACCTTGAAGATGTTAGACATCTGGAGACAGCATAATACAGGGCACAGAACCAAAAGCCAGGGAGCCAAGGGTATATTCCCAGGTGTTACAAGTTGCTTCTTCATCATCACAACTATGTTCTAGTCTTATTGCCTAAAGGTTTTGGATTTTTTTAATTGTGCATTACAACACAGTGGTACTGTGACATAATCTGGAATTTCTACACACCAGAAGAACACACATATCACCCCCCCCAAATAACTACGATCGTAACATTTATCACTCATGTCTTTGAAAGCAGAGTTCATCACTATTACACCAGACAAACAGAACAAGCATCTGTTTCTGCAGTCATTCTGTGTTATAACAGTCCGATGGGAAACAGACAATGCATTCAGAAGCTGAAAGGTCTCACAGTGATATCAGTAACTTAATGCTCTTCTCAAAAACACACACACACCAACCAAACAACACCTCACTGAACTAACACTGAACTAGAAGACACTGCATTTCCAAAAAACTGCATCCAAACAGATAGGAAGCCAAGGCCTGTGGTAATATCCCACATGCCCTATAACTCTAGCCATGCATACCTCTAAAGCCAGAACTAGATACTCCTCCTTGGCCTTAGAGTAAGTTAAAGCATTTTTCCTCAGCTATCTAGGATTAGGGAATTCATTCTGTTTCAAAAAACTATCATATACTGAGCACAGTATCAGAGTTCAGCTTAGTATTTACTTTGAAGATGCTGTTTCTGTGCATTTCTTCTCATCCTCATCTCTTAGAGTAGGTGTTCAACCAGAATCAGATTCCCATAAACTAAAGATGATTCAAGACAACTGCAGTCATCAGAATGCTTTTGAGAACTTTCACACAGGTGTTAACTCCAGCCTGCTGGCCAAATGTTGACATTTTGCTTGCAATTCCTGTAAAATCAAGATTCCTTCTTTCCTTACTAGTACACAATAGCCTTAACTATATTTATTTGTTTTGTATCCCAATTAGGCACGCACATACAGTTTTACATTATATAGCAAAAAGAGCTTCAAAGAGGAAGCAATTCCTACAGGAGTAGGAAGTTCTGAGCTACTGCTCTGCCTTTTCTTCAGTTACACCAAGAGCAGAACCCAACAGAGGAAGTTTCCTGAAAAAAATCCTGCTAAAAGCAGGCAGAAGACATGTTCTCTTTAGCATACAGTGCTTATTTAGGACCGACACTTCACAATCACGATTTTCTCCATTCTCCCCTTCTACATGATAACACAGATTGAAAGAAACTAAGGCATTGGTTTCTCCCTGCAATGCTTATAAGATCGGACAATTTGAAGAGTCAGATCACAACCATTAGGAACTAACACCAAGCAAACGTTATAAGCGTTACAAGGCAAACGGATCAGAAGCAGAAGCTCAGTCTGGTACACCTCCATACCTTGAGTTTGTGATAAATTAATTTCTGTCCAAAACGTGGTCACATCTTTCTGTACTGTATACTGTAAACATATTGTAACTTTATCACATGTTTAGTTAGTTATAATTTATTTTTAGTTCAACAGATTTCCCAGTTTGTTTTATTCCAAGTTACTGTAGTAACCTAGAAGTTGTTTATGTAATGCATCAAACAATGGTTTAGGTTACAGTGTGCATGACAGACAGCTGACTGACAGAAAAGGAATTTTAAATACCTGATCTCATGTCTGCTCTGCATGTCATATTTTTCTGCTTGAAGCTTATCAGCCAGCACTGCATGAAGGTCAGACTTCTCTAGTAGCTTGTTATCTGAAAGGGCAAAAAGTACAATTAAGAAGATAACCAAAAAGCAAAACCAGAATCTCACCCTCTTCTTCTACCAGCTAAGATCTAGTACCTTCAATTATTCTGACACAACCAAATGTTATGTAAGCCTCCAACACATTAGCATGCACTCCTCTTTGATGTCAGCAGGCTAAGGCAGTATTCAGCTACAACTCTAAGAATTCCTCGTTAATCCAGATGCTGTGTGGGACTGGTCTGATGAAAGTTTAATAGAGAGGCTGCTCAGGCGTATTGCTATCTGCTAAAATAGAAGGAGTTTAAAGTTCAAACTCTTTATAGCCCCTCAACTGATAACAAGGGAAAAGAGACCTGCCAGAGAACTGGTCACATCCAGCACTGCACCCAGCCCTGCCGAGGTTTGTTTGCTTTTCCCCCCATAACATACAGCACCTCGGTGTGTGAGCCAGCAGCGTTAGGTGACCCCCCACTTCCATTCGCTTCTGTCACAGCTGAGGCAGCAGAGAGATGGGGAAGTCAGCGCTGGACAGAAAGTGCTGGCCCCGAATAGCTCCAAATTTTACAAAGGATCGTGAACGTGGTCAATAGTACCATTGTTCTCAATTCCACAAACATCTGAGCGGGAATTGTGCAGACAATTTAGACATTCAATCACTGTCCACAGCACAAATTCGGTTTAGCCTGTGAGGAAACTGAGAGGAGCAACTATTTATTTTCCTTAATAATGTACAAACTCCAACTTCTCTCAGTTCTAACAAACATCTCCCAACCAGTCTTCTGAAAACGACACACGCGGCCCTTTACCGCCGCGTTTTTCCCACTTTCCGAGGAGGAGGGGGGAAGAAAGGCGCCCCTCGGCCTCGACCCCGCCGGGGGAGCCGTGCCGCCGCGCCCCACTTACACTGCCCGATGATCTCCTCGAATGCCTGCCGCTGCAGCCGGGGCC